AGGCCTATGTCCAGCAGTGGACGCAGAGGGCTGGGTGATGATGATGACAGGGTTTTGTATTTAAAATAATAAAGTTGGATTGGCCACTGTTACATGAGACACACACACACACACATACGTTCAAACCTGCCATGACTATAAAGAAGACGATGATGATGTCCGAAGATCAAACTTATCTCACTTCATTGTGAAGTGGTAACGATATGAGCCCCAAGCTTTTTCTCCACTCCTTGTCAACGTGTGACTTACGATGGAGAGGCTTATGAAGTGATCGTTACTTTCGGCGTCCTAGGTAATGAAACACTCTTTGTTTTTTTGAATGTGGTTGAGATACATTATTGTAGGGGTAGCACAAAAAACGGCTTTTCTCTCCAGTTACGTTACTAACTTTACTTCTAATAAAAATAACACGACTACAGGACTAAGATGCTGAAAAAGTGTGTGCTTCGAATAAAGAGTCATCAACCTTAGTTGATGTCTCTCTGTACGAAATATGTCTATGGTTGATTACTGAGCCGGCAAATTGACAAAATAAATTTTGTTTTTCTCACTGACTGAGTACTCGAATGGCCTGGCCATCGAGCCCATATTTGTTGCACATGACCTCGATGCTCAGCTTTCACGATTAAGATCCTTTAAACCAGTCATATGGGTCTATGCCTAGGCAGAAGTTTAAAAGGCCTCACGGGCCTTTTATATCCATTATGTGTGTGGAATATGTAAAAAATAATTCAAATTTACTCGATTTATATATTGGGAACATGTCTGTCATAGTAGAAGGTGAAGTATTTTTTCCAGTATTTTTGGTGAGCAATGCTTTTTTCTCCAGTCAGAATCACGTGATCCGCTGTGTTCCTTTTGTATTCGACTTTATTATATCCCAGTATCTTACCCACTAACGATCTGATAAGATCTAATTCGTCGAACTGGCGTATAACTCGGCACCACACTTCCGCTCTGCTCGCTGTCTACCGTTGCGTGTCGTTCACTGACACTGAGCAGAACAAAAGCAATGCTTTTTTTTGTTTACTTTATCTACTGCTTTCGTTCAGCTATCGTGTAGCTAATTCAGTCTTTATAAGTCCTACTGGTCCTCCTTATATCCGACATTTTCTTGCTTAGACCGTCTGTGTACAGTCCTTACATTTTCATAATAGTCTGTTTACTCTCTTAGTGCCCTGTTGGAATAGTTTCTGAGATCAATATCTCATATGCTTTCTTGGTCATCATTCGCAGAATACTTCTTTGTTGTTAGTACCCAAATACGTACCTTAACGGTATGTACTTAGGTATCCCCAGGGCCTCTTTGATTATGTAGTTTTGTATTGTTTCCTATTAGTTTTGTAGGTATGTCCAGATACTGCACAAGCATAAGTCAGTGTAAGCAGGATAATGCTGTTTCCCGTTCTGATTTTGGTTTTAAACCTCAGTTTACTTTTTTGGCCTATTAGCGAAGAAAGTTGACTCCTAAGTGCTTTGGTTTTGTAGACCGTCTGGTTCACAGGTTTCGTGAATATTAGTTTCCCTTCCAAGTGTGATACCAAGGTATTTAGCTTGATTAATCTACTTAATTGGCTTGTTGGCTATGGTCTATTGGCTTATTTCTCTGTCCAGTATACCTTTCCTTTTTGAGACATGACGGTTTGTATTTTTTCTAGGTTTAATGCTACCTTCTAATTTATTCATCATCTTTGCAGTCGATTTAATGCTTTTTGTAGGTGGTTGGTGACTTTGTTACGGTTTCTGATAACTGCTTCTATAGCAGTGTCGTCAGCGTACAGGCTTAATAACGATCTGGGATCAGTATATGTATCCGCTGTGTATATGGTGTATAAATAAGGCGACCGTACTGCTCTCTGCAGAACTCCTGCCTCCAGGGTTTAGATTGTGGATAGGGTTGGGCTATATAAACTCTAAACATTTTGTTGGCTCGCGTGGACGTGTTGAAGGTGTTCTCGCTTCACTGTTACCATATTTTTTTATTTTGTACAGCAGGCCTTTGTGTTAATCTTTGTCAAAAGCCTTACTTACATCAAGCAAGGCGACGGCTATGTATATTTTTTAGTTAAACCCGCTCGTTATATATTTGGTTAGCCGCAGTACCTGTAGCTCGCACGAATGTTCTGATCTAAATCCAAAAGTTTGAATCTAGTTAGTATGACTCTTTCGTCGATATTACTTATTGATGATACTAGGCTCATCGGCTGGTAGTTCTGTGAAAAAGTGTTATTTTCCCCCGATTTTCTAATCATAATTATATGAGCCTTCTTTCATCTGTATTGTTCTGAAACTATTTTCTTGTGGCATTATAAATTAATTACTATTTAACTGGGAATTGTTTGTATTTTGAGAACGATTTCCGAAGTGGAAATTGAAACGTCAATAAACGTATTTTTATCTTTAATTGTGGCTTATTCCCAGTTAAATAGTAATTCTTTCATCTGTTCGGAAAGTATCTTAATCGAAGCATGCTGTTTATTATGCTTTTTATAAAGACTATTGCTTTTGTCGGCAGATTATTAAGCGCACTGTTGGTGATGTTGTCTGGTCCTAGCGGTTTCTTTGCATTTGAATTTTTATCAGCAGTTTGATTTTTTTTGAAGGTGTATGTTTGATCTATTTACCCTTTCTTCTTAGATTTCTGGTTCTTCTTTTCTACCTCTTTTGTGAAATCTAAGTCTTCGTTGCGATGGTAGTTTTTTTTCGCATCGCAATTCCAGCATATCCTTTATGACTTCTGCTTTTTTCTTAAGTATACACAATTTCGTTTTCTTTATAGCAAAAAGTTATTATAGTAAAAAATTCTCAACTAAAAATACCAATCAACGTGTCTAGGCGTCATTTTCTAAATTCGATAATTAACAAATAGGGGAACATATTTGTTAGATATCAAATTTATTCCATTTGACTGTTCCACAATATATAATATCGCACCCTCAGTGCAAGACTTCACTAAGTCTGAATGAGTAAGTTTCAAGATAAATACGATTTTGTTTATTATAGTGCTAATATCGGTAAAATAAGACACAAGTTTTACGAAAAATTAACATTCAATTATGATTTTGCGTGCTTTTCAGCCTATATTAGATTAACCAAAAATAGAAATTTAAATATAATAATATTAATGCTAAAAAAATTAGGAATTTTAAAGTTGCACAAGTTTAAAGTTGTAAACACTTTTGCACGGAAAAAATTGTGAATCACTACACATTTAGTATTAGAATTTTAAAGTTACAACACTTTTGCACGGAGAAAATTGAAAAAAGTGTAGACCCATTTTCTGTTAGTTGTTGTCGTCTTCTCGTATATCATCTTGGGCCAAAATAGTTTTATAAAAGCTATGGTGGGCTTCTGGTATCATACCTGAGTGGCATAAGTATACCAAATCTTTCTTTTTGAAATTTGAAGTTTTGGCTGTTCCATGATCATTTTTTTAGATTAAAAGAATTCCATAGCTCGTCATCATAGTTGTACTTAAAGAAAATTGTATGCGGACTATCTTTTCTACATTGCAGAATTTTTATATCTGTCCACTTCACATTTTCTTTATTTTAATCAATTTTATAGATATTTCCCAACAGAAAGGATACATGTTTAAAATCAATGAAGTCCTTTATTTCCATTTCCTGGACTACGTAGCGTGAATCACTTTTTTTGTTACATTTCACTACAGTTGCCCATTTAGTAGGAACATAAATTGGACCGCTCTTCAGCATTTTTTTCTTTTGCCGCTCTATTGATGAGTACAGACATGTTGTCCCAACATGGACTCGGGGTTTAGTATGGCATTAAACGTTACATTTAATAGATTCCAAGAAATCAGACAGCTACCTAGAATAAATAGGCACCTAATAAAACGGCTTATTGCTAGCGACAATTTAATCTCTGCACATATTTCTGATAGCCACAATTTCTTCGCTTTGTAATGAAAATTTCATAACAAGTAGAAAAATTATTAGGAAAACTTTCAATAATTTTATTTAAATTCAAAACAAAAGGACTATAATAAAAATATGAAAATTAGGCTACCTTGAGTACAGTGATTAACAAAAGGATTGACATTCACTACCTTAGTAAACTTTGGGAATTACGGGGCGACAATATGATAAGGCAATTGCCCTGGAAGGTTACATGAAGATTTAATACAATTTGGAATTTAGTTTTTATAGAACAAGTTTTCTGAGAATAGATATTTTTAACTTGTCAGTATTGTTAATACAAAAATTTTAAGATAACTGTTTTTCCATTCATAAGAAAAAATACTTTTTGGTTGTAAATAATTAGTCTTAATTTATGTGTTTTTAATTCAATCTAGTAAATAAATGGTCAAACGACATCGCACACATTTAATGGTAAATATAATGTCACACAAAGGACATAAAACTTACGTGAATAGATTGGTCTCGTAATCTTTGTTTATTATCTCGGCCGTTAATGGATTACGTAGATACGCTGTATATTAAAATTAAACAACACAAATATAGATATTAAGATAACAAATATCTTACTTTTTTCGTGCCTTTCATTGCTTGTTTCGAAACCATTGCAATGTTCCGTGCAAAACTGTTGTAACTCTGTTACATTAGAATTACAACAGTTTTGCACGGAACTTATACACAAAAACTCAAAATAGTGAAACTGTTGTTGTTGTAATATTTAGTCGGTTAAGCATTTGAAAGCTGCTAAAGTTTTACAGGGGATACATATGCATGTTTACAATCGAATTCCATGATTACTTTATTTTAATCAAATTTTGAGTTACTACAGTCTTGCACTGAGGGTGCGTATAATAATGATAAATATTATGGGCTTGGGAACACCACCTCACCCAGAGCAAAATTCTTTTGATACTGAAGATATCTGATGAATGATTTTTCACCTTAGAGGAATCCAGAGCCTGTATGGCTTAAATCTCAAGATTATCGTTATTTTTCGTAATGTAGTATATTGCTTAAGTAAGTAAATTTTTAAACAGTAATCATTTTGTTAACTTTTTTTAGAGTTTCCTGTCATACTGAATGATACTTTTAAAAATGTACCAAAAATTTCAACCAAATTGGGGAAAAAAAGCTCACAAAATATTGTCAGCAGATACCTACTTATATTATGTGGAGTTATTGTTTTAACATGGTATTTACAAATGTTATGGAGAAGGAGGCGTTTATACTATTACTATTACAAAACACCAGGTCCCTTAAATCTTCCATTTATCGGTGTTGGCTACAAATTTCTGACACGAGATTTAGGTGGTAAGATAATATTTTTTAATAACAAACTTTGTATATTTACAATAATTGTAATATTGAAACAACGTTCGATGCTTGAGCTTTTAGGTAGAAAACTGTTTTGAAAAATTAAATAATTTAATTCTACTTGAACATATTACTTTATAGGTACTTTAAACTAATTTTGTTCGTATTGTTGAGCTACGGGGCAACTTTTTTGTAGGAGTATCGGAGGATGGACGATATTATGATTACATGGATTTAATTTTATTGTCCAGTCTTAGCTTAATGATTGATTCAGTCGTATGATTGTTTAATCGCAAAAATAAAAATTTAATTAGTATTAACGCATTATGCGATCAAATCGTGCATATTCTTGTTTTGCGAGATATGCTATTACATTTTATTAATCATTCGCATTGGCCTCTTCTATTTGTTTTAAATGTTTTGTCGTTTGGCATTCTTTTCCTCAGGTAGTTGTAGCTTCCTCCGTGGTTATTGTTAGTTGTTGCCCTGAAAACCATTAGGGTCTTTTAACTCTATTACCAGAATTGGTCGCATTACTTATGTACTTATTGAAGTGATCCTTTCTAAGTTAACGAACTTCTTTTTTAAATTTTCCGCAGCGTACTGATCACCAAATAGTCAGGAAATCGGTGTTTACGGTTGTCTTCCATCGATATACCTATATATCCATATTTTGTTTCTTGTTTTTCTGTTATAAAATACATGTATATATATGTATATATTGAAATGATTTCAATATGTCAAAGAGGATATAACTTAAAGGGATTTTTATATGAGTTTGTTGTTCATGAATTTCATGAAGCCATCACAATGTGGGGTCGACTCTGAAATAAAAGGGAGAAAAGATTAGTAAATTGCTAAATAAATTAATTTTGACTTACCTGGTATAGTGTTAATAATTTCTGAATAGTATAGTTGCCTAGTGTATAGGTGAATCGTCTAAACCTTAAAAGGAATAAAAAAGAAGAATTCTTAAAAAATTATTTAAACATAGAAATTTTAAAAATAAACGTCAGAAAAATAAACTGTCAAAAGTCTGTGGGAACTAAATTAATAGGGGTTTTGTTAAATAAATTACAATGATGTGGAGATGAAAAGAATAAATTATATTAGTATTGTTAAGTTTTATATCTGAATTTTTTTTTATAAATTCCCAAATTAGATGTGATTAAAGTGCTTATGAGAAATTAATGTGGTTTGACAAATATGTCAAAACAGGACAGTTTTATGGTTGAATAAAATAGAAGACGGAATGAAAAAAGAAAGGGGGTTGCTGTTAGCAACGAATAATTTTGGTGTTGGTGCTAGCTATGGCGGTTAACAAGGAAGAATAGGTTGTTGGAGGCGACGAAAATTTTGGAGGAAGAGCCCTAAAAAGGTGGAATAGTCCGGGAGTGCTTTAAAATCGTTTAATTATAATTTAGTTTTTCCACATTTTCAAATAGAGATATCCAGAATTTGTTCCAGAGAGTAAGAGAAATTTTGACTTATAAATTATAATTGGAGTGCAGAAATGTCATTTAGATTGAAAAAGTAAAAATTCATGAATTAACTAATTGCGATAGGCCTTAAAAATTGAAATATTAATGATCATTAAAATAAAAATATAATAGTACGTACCTTTAACTTCCGAAGAGAGGATAGATATTCCAGTATCACCGATTATTTTGCGAGTAGTTAGTTTTCTTTAAAAAAAAAAATCAGAACTGTTTGAAAGTGAGTTTGGATAATAATTTTGGGGATCATTTGAAATTTTGATTATATTTTAATGCTAGTTATAAGTCAGCGGCATAAAGTGTTCAGTTTTCTTTTCTTTATATTTCATTTAAACACTTTATAAAGTTGCAATAGTCATTTAGATTTAAGGTAATTGTAGAGAGTTTCCACATTTTGTAATCAAATTCTATTTTCACGACACATTAAGGTTTACACGATTCCTATTTTTGTAAATTTTTAAAGGCAACCCAAGTTGCAGACGAATTTTATTGTTTATATTAAATTTGTTCAATATTAATAAATAACGTGCTTCATTTGGGTTAATTTATCAAAAAATATAAAGTAAATTTTGGTTTAATTTCTTTTTGAACTCTACCAGGAGACTACAGAGTTGACGTCACACAGTGACAGATTGCTTAGAACAAATAATTGAGCTAGCCGAGGTATAGTATATTAACAACGAACTACATACTTTTAAAATTCACTTCAATTCAATTAAAATTATATTTATTAACAATAAAACATAAAAATAATAAAAACAAAACTATTACAATTGGCGCAACAACGTGGAGCCTCTGGGAAAACAGAAATAAGGGTGTTTTTTTTTAAGCAGATTTATTAATAATACACAGATTAAAATAAAAACAAATTGGTGTGATTAGAGTTGTAGAGATTCTGGGGTAGTTAAAGTTAAATTTGAGAATAAATAGAGATTAGGATAAAATGGCAGACCGAATGACTTTAAGAAATGGAAAAGAAATCGTACCGAAAGAGAGTGAAGGAGAACAGGTGTTAGAACAGGAACAGGGTATACAGGTAGATGAAGAAAGCAGAGGAGGATCAGGAGAATTTGTAGTACAATATTTAGAGCAAGGCAGACAAGAAGCAGGACAAGGTGATAGAGAGGGAAGTCTAACAGATAGTTTGAGAGAGGAGTTGGATGAGACAGTGAGAGATAGACGTGATGAAAGTGTGAATGAATGTAGAGTGCAGGAGGAGAGACGTAGGGAAGGAGATGTTGGAGAGTCAGGGATGACACAGATGGATATGAGGCAAATAATGCGGATGTTACAACAGATGGATCATAATATTAGGGGAGATATGCACAAAATGGATAGTAATATTAACAATATTAGGGGGGATATGAACAAAATGGAAAATAATATTAAAGGAGAACTTAGGGAAGAGTTAATTAAAATGAGGGAAGAAATCAAAGAAGAAGTGAAGATAGTCAGGGAAGAGATGCTACAAATTACCCAAGGTTTAGAAGAGAAAGTAGAACAGGTCAGAGGAGAAAGTGAGAATTTTAAGAGGAATGTACAGGAGGAGATATCCAGAGAAAAGGCCATAATTAGAGCGGAAATAGGACAGGAAATTGGGAGCAGATTTGTAGAGTTGGGAACAGCCATTAAAGAGAATTTACCAATGGAAATAAACAAAGAAGTTAATAAGCAGAATAAAGAGATTGTTAGGGAGGTAGAAAGTGTTAAAAGGCAAACTCAGGATTATGAGGAAAAAATTACCATTATAAAAAATAATATAAAGAAGGGATTGCAGAATTTGGAACTGGAAATGGGTATGCATGCAAATCAGGCGGAAAAGGGAGATAGAGTATTACAGGGACAAGTTGAGGAATTGAGAGAGAAATTTAAAAATGCAAGTGAGGAGATTCAGCGTTTGGAATCAAATCTAGGACAAACAAGAGTAGTGAGTACTGTGGTGCCGAGTTATAATGATGGGGGAATAAAGTTTGATGGAAACCTGAATCACTTACATCCTAGAATATTTGTAGATATCATCAAAAATAAGGTAAAGAATGTAAGGGATCCAATAGAAATGAAATTGAATATTCGAAACATGTTAGTGGGCATGCCATTATTATGGTTTTGCAATAATGAAAATTCCATAAATAATGTGCAGGAATTTGAGGCCAAGTTTATTAACTATTTTTGGGGAGAAAAACCAACAGGCTAGTTTCAGGGAGCGGTTGTATTTTGGGAAATTCAATTATGAAAAAAGTACCAACTACAATCTGTACGCAATGCAGTTATTCCAGACAGCACAATATTTAGAACCGGCTATGCGAGAAGAGGAGATTGTCCTATACATTGCCAGGCAATATAACCATAACATGGCAGAAACAATAGCTCTCCACAATATAAAGACGATGGAAAGTTTGACAGGATATCTTCAGAGGATTGAGAGGAGTGTAGGGACGCAGAATCGAAATGGACAAGAGCAAGTGACATATAGGAATAACACAGCAAATAGACAGGGATATGTGAATCGAGGGAATAATTATAGGGAAAGAGAATTTGAGAGACAAAATAGAAGCAGGGATTTTACAAATAGGGGAGAGAATTTGAACAATGTCAGGAGAGATATCGGACGATATAACTGGGAACGTAGACAAGGGAATCCAAACAATGATAGAGAGAATAACTGGAGACAAGGGAATGACAGAGGCAATAATTGGAGACAGAACCAGGGAAATTATCCACAGGAGACGAGAAATAGGGAAGTTTACAGAGAAGGGAATCCAAGATATAATAGGGGGGAAAATGAGGAGAGAAGACAGGTGAATGTAGTTAGAACAGAGGAGAATAGGGGGGAAGCAAGTGTTGATGTAGAAGGGAGAAATTTTGTTTAGACCGCTCCTATGTGCATAATATTGTCTACTTATCAAAGTATGAACATCCAAGGGAGTTTATTAGAGATACTGGGGAATTAAATAAAAATAATAACACTAATACTTTAAAGTTTATTGAAGGGTACATACAAGATTCAGTATACAAGTTATTATTAGATACAGGTTCAGAAGTAACTCTAATCAACAAAAACATTGTAAATAATTTAAATAAGGACAATATTATGGTGATAAAAACAAATAAATTATCATTAGTAGGGGCGAATAATAAAAAATTATATGATACTAATAGTTCTATAATCTGTAATGTAAAATTGGGAAATAAAATGTATGAAATGCAAATGTTAGTGGTAGATCACTTAAATTTTGAGATAGTATTGGGAAATGATGAAATGGAAAAACATAAAATGATTATTAACTATGTCAATCAAACTTTACAAATTGATCAAGAATCTATTAAATTTTGTAAATTAAATAAAGAAGAGATTTTAAATAAAGAAGAATTTCAGATTTGTCAAGTAAACAGTTCAGAAGAAATTATTGTAGTGCCAAAGGAACATGAAATGGAGATAAGAATTTTGTTAAAGGAACATCAGAGGTTATTCAATCAAGAGGTGTGTGTGGCAAAGCAATA